CGCCCAGCATACGTGGCTTCCATCAACTCAATCCATTAAGTGCTTAATCCTTAATCACGTACGTCCAAAATCCAGATCTAGACCCTAAAAGGTATCCTTAACCATAAAGTTTCCAACTTTATGGTTTTGCATGGCTATTAAGACCTTAGCATCAAAAACCCTAGCTTCTTGACCCATTAAGACAACCTAGATCATGCATGGAAAGAAACTAATGTCCAAGATCACATTTTTATGACTTAAAACGCCCTAAAACATCTGAAAGGACAACTCAACTGTCTTGGAGTATTCCATACTCACAAAGATCAATATTTGGGAAAAAAAGGTGCCAACTTTAAGCTAAAACTAGATCTAATGAAATACTTATCAAGGTTGGAGCTTTATACATCCACAAGGTGCACAACGGAGTATAGATGCTGGATCCAAAGCCTTGAGTGAGACACCACTACTTCTAGGTTCTTCCTTCACCACCAGGAGTACCAAAAAGGCACCAAAATGACACTCTGAGCTTAAAAACACACTCACAAACTTTAGGGTTTTGAAATGAGGTCAATGACGAATTGAGGCTAGATTTAAGGAAGGGTATGGGGCTATAATGATGCTTAATAGGGTCCAAACCCTAAAATTTAAGGTTTGCACCCTGGCCACATACGCCCAACGTATGCAAGCCATGCCCAAAAATTACAAAATTTCCATAAGGGACCAACTTTGGAATACAATCACCAACCAAGGGTCAAAAAGAAAATACCTAGAAATAAAGATGTTACAGTGTATTTATTGTAATCATATTACACTTGTTGTAATATAAAGCTTTATGGTTGAAGCCGAAAAGAATGTCATGTTCCAACATCTTTTGGTAAATTATTTATAAAGTTATATTTAATATGTTTAATTTTGATTATTTTTAATACTTTTTTTTGTAGACATTCTTTGATTTTCAAGTGATTTCAAATGATCATGTGGCTCCACTCTTATGGGTGTCCCTAAACAATAAGATATGTACGCATTATAAAGGCCACAAATATAAAGCTCATGAACATTTTAAAGGTTTACAAGGGTATACATGTGTGGAGAGAGCAAGCATTCAAGCCCCCATAGGTATGGATACGTGGTATTGGAATGCTACTTTTGATTGTTTCTTAACAGAGAAGCATCAAAAATGATCTAATGTAAATACAGAATTCCAGAAGAAGCAAGTAATTAAGAATCATGGAGGGACGAGCACCTACAATAATGTTGGTTTCAATAAAGTAAGTTGCATATTTGTAACGTTTATTCAATTATAACATATTTGTAATGTTTATTCAAGTATAACATATTTTGTAATGTTAAACAGAATTTGAATAGACATGAAGCAAATCACTGAGCACATGTCAATAAAAAAAGGGAATTTGTTGATCCGTTATTCGAAGTGCAATATGTAAGTTTTTATTACTTAAAGTGAAGTAGATTGTTGTTTTTTGCTTTACATTTGAATTTATATTGATAATCTTTGTGAAATACAAAATGCTTTAGTTTGTGAAATTACTCTACAAACTCAACTCATAACCTCTTCCGGTGGCGACACAAGTTCGATTGATTGGAGAGGCATTTTTGAGAATGTGTTAGGTGCTCGAAAGGGACACGCGAGAGGCATTGGACCTAAACCTCCTTCCCCAGTAGGTACTAGTGTTCCCTCATAGTGTCACTCACAATACAAGCACCGCAACCAACTCGGATACTTATTGTAACATCCCGGAATTTGCAGCTATTTTCGAATCCTCCCTTTATTATTATTTTTGTCGTTTTAGTCCTTGGGGATGGAAGAGTGGAGCCATGAGATGCCTAAGGGCTAAAGTTGCAACTTTGTATCAGGAGGAGTACGCTAAGTGTACATAAGGGTACGTCGAGCGTACTAGGCGCGCCCTAGTACGCTGGGCGTACACTTGTGTACGCCAGGTGTACTCACGTCAGGGGAAAACCCTAATATTTAGGGTTTGGGTGGTATATAAGTATCCTTATGAGCTCATAACCCTCTACCATTCAGCCTCCATAGTTTTGAGCCGTTTTCCCCAAACCCTAACCTCTCTCTTGAGTATATGAGCTAAAAGTGTGTGTTTTGAGTAGTTGAAGAAGAAGAAGTTGCATCAAGGAGTTGGAGAAGTGAGGCAAGCTTGAAGATCTGAGGTTATCTAGTCTTCTAGAAGCTCCAGGAGGTAAAAAGCTTCTGCCTTTATGCTTATATGATGTAGATCTTGCCTTGATAGCTTTATGACACCTTTCTCTTCCCAAAAAGTCCCAATATGGTGCATGTTATGTTTTGTACGTGTTAAGTTGTCCTTTCAGACCCTAGGAAGGGTTCTAAGTGATAAAAATGAGGTCCCAATGGCTAGAAGTGTCCCATGCAAGTGGTAGAAAGGTCTTAATGGATTAAGACCTTGTATTAAGGACTTTCTGGACGTTCAAAGTCTTAAAGTTTGAGACTTTATGGTTCTAAGACACGTTTGGTCGATGGATCTGGGATTTGGGCTTAAGTGCTTAAGCCATTAAGCACTTATTTGAGTTTTGAGTACAACGAGGGTACGCCCCGCGTAGAGAGCAGTACGCCCCGCGTACGTAGTCAACGTCCCCATTTTCCAGTCAACGCGATGCTCGCGTACGCCCCGCGAAGCTTCGGAGTACGCCCAGCGTACGCCCTCTGATGGGTTTTTGCGAGTTGGGCTTCGGAATTGGGCCACCTTTGGGCCAGTTTGGCTTGGGCCTTTGCTGGACTTTCTGTATAGAAGTGTTTTGGCCAATTTGGAAGTGGATCTTAGGATGAGGCCCAATTAGAGAGTTGCGCCCAATTTAGAAAATTGGGCCAACTATAGGCCTTTTATATTGGGATTTTGGATTAAGGAATTGGAGTTGAGCTTTGGCCCAACTTGAGGAAAGGATAGAGTGGACTATTACCCTATGTTTGGGCCCTTAGTCAAGATTGATATTCCAACTGTTGATCGGTGTTCGTTTTATTGTGATAGTTTGGGATTTTTGGTGAGTCAGCAGCCGAGGGTTTTCAGTTCAGTTTGACATCGTGAGGTGAGTTTTCCTCACTATACTTAAGGGTCGAAGGCACCAAGGCCGGACCATTGGATTTATATCCTAGTAGTTATTGATATGCTGAGTATGAGTTAGATATGCATGCCAGTGTGATATGCTAGTCTGGTAGATCGGTAGGACTACCTGTGATACTGTCTGATTATATGTATGTGCATTTATCTTTTACATGTCGACATGTTGTATGGGTAGGGTTGAGGTTGTACTACTCCGTACGGTAACCAACAAACCCTGTAGTATGCCAGATATGAGCTGAGGGCCAGGGAGAGCATGCCAGACTCACATTGAGGACTCCTAAGCATTCCAGATGCGATTTGAGGGCCAGGGGAGCATGCCAGACTGGCACTAAGGGCTGATCATTTATATTCCAGTATGAGGACTGAAGGGGCAAGCCAGACATAAGCTGTGGGCTCGAGAGCAAGCAAGACTTATGTTGTGGGCTCGGGGGCAAGCGAGATGTGTGTTGTGGGCCTATAAGGCAAGCCAGACTCATACTGTAGGTTCGGGAGTAATCCAGTCTGTAAAGTTGTGGACCCATTACATGTTGCTATTATGTGTGCTATTTGTTATGTATCGGTATTTTGGGGGAACTCACTAAGCTTCGGGCTTACAGTTTAGGATTTTTTTCAGGTACTTCGGATGATCACGGGAAGGCGAAGGCTTGATCGTGCACCTCCTCACATGTTATGATTTTGATTTCTGGGATTCTCTGATATGAAACTATTTTGAAAACATTTTGTAATAAATAATGGTTTTTGGATGCTTGAAAAAGTTTTAAATTTTTATGAATTTTATGGTTTTTACACTTATTAAACTCTTAAGGACTTTGGTGCTTTGCAACATTACTATATCGTTAAGGGCATAATGCTTTTATTATTAAATTGGTACTTTGGAACATTGTTATATTGTTAAGGACTTATAGTGAATTTTGGTAGTTTGGAACTTTGTTATATTGTTAATGACTTAATGTATTTGTGACTTAATTGATTTGGTAGCTTGATAGTTTGTTAAATTGTTAATGACTTAATGTGTTTGTGTCTTAATTGATTCGGTAGTTTGATAGTTTTGACTTATATATATACTTACTTTGTAGGGCATGGATATTATTGTTTTTCTTCAAAACTCGGTATTTGTAACGGCAATTGAAGATATCATCCGCTCTTTTAATAAACAAGTCAACATCGAGAAAAGCAATGCGAGCAACGACAACAGGGAGGGAGACAATAGGGAAGACGAATAGTATTTTGTTATATGTTATGGATGATGATATTATGTAAGATATTATGGATTTATTATATCGTTTGTAGATTAAAATGTTAAAACCGTACAATTATGGATTAGATCAATCTATGGATTAGATCAATATAGTATATTTTATTTTATGTTATTGGACGGTGTATATAATGTAGTTTTGTAGATTATAAATTCTGCATTTTTATTTATACAAGATATAAATTTTATATTAAAAAAAATAGTATTAATGTCGACATCTTGCGACGACAAGCCACATTTGCGACGCCTCATGACTCCGACAACTTGGCCGGAAAAACTTTGATCGGTGTACCGGAAAACTAATAGCGATGCACCCTTTTGTGACGACAATTTCCTTTTAGCGACGACGAATATTTGCAACGACACAACTGGGCATTAGACACGAACTAATAGCGACGGCCAATTTGCGACGATTTCTAGTATCTCAAATTGCGACGCTTTTTGTCGTTGCTAAAAGTGAGTTTTTTTTTTTTTCTTTTTTGAATGTTCTCTATTGAATATCACCCTATATTAGGCAAACAATTTCATATGCCAATATTTAAATTAATTAATTTATTATGCAGAAAACTATGACAACCAAGACTAATAAATTCGAAATAAGTAATGGCACAATCCAAGCTAAACAAAAGCAAATTTTTAACATTCACTTTAAAATGTCAAACTCTACTCCCTCGGCAGTATCTTGTACACGGCCTATTTCCGACGTTGTATAGTTTATCTCCAGACCCTCCACAGTGTCCATTTATGCCAGCGTTACAGGCTGGCCGATTCCTTGTTCCCATATGGCTAGTTGGGTGTGGGGGTGCCACCATTTTTGGTGGATTATGTGATACAGGCGGGTTTGCGTTTCGATAATTGGGAGCTGGTTGCCCATCTGATTAAGAGAGAATGTTATACATTTTATTTGATAAATGAAACATTATATGTATGTATGTATGTATGTATGAATGTTTACTTACATGCTGAGACCAATACGAAGAAAGAAATCAACATGAGAATAACCACACCTGTCTTCTTTCCCATATTTATGTTGGAGAATTTCCCAATTAATAACAATGAATAGTTATTTAATCTAGGAATCAAGAATCTTATAACCTTATATCGTTAACTATGGTAGCTTCTACTGAACTTCAAGTCTATGCAGTCTTTGCAAAATAACTCAAGCGACGACCAAGTCGTGGAGCATGATATACTGCCAGAAGACTAGATGAGGTTCATATATATGTATAGCTAGCTAAAGCTGGGAAAGTACAAGCTATAATAGCACATATATATTCCGGTTCGTTAATCTTTTATGGAAGCGATAATAAGCAAATTAAATGTAGTTAGGTTAATTACTAAAAGTAAAAAATAAATATTTCATATACCGGTTCGTTACCATCCAAAAAAGGCAGTCGACATAGTTTGTTCTCTTTCTACCCACTACGTCTATATAAAATTTTAATTATGAAAATTGTGTTTGTTAATACACTTTTGAGTTTCTTTTATTTTTTAGAACGACTTAGACACGCACCACTAATTTATATATTTCGATCCAAACGGGGCTTCAACCCTAAACTTTTAGCTGAGAACTATCTGACTCATGGAAGTACTTTTGAGTTATTCACACAAAATGGGCCATATTGAAGTTATATATAACCATTTTTTTTCGAAAGAGAAGAAAAAGACCATAAACTCCGTGATAAAATCTTGCCCGACTCACGGATTTGTTTTTCTTACAAAATGAAACCGATAGGTATACTTCAAGATACAATCTGTCACAAGGTTTATTGTTTCCACTTTCCAATATAGTTATTACAACGTCGTAAGCACTCTCGTCATACACATAGTCTTCATTTGATACTCGTGAGATTTTTTTTAACAGTTGGTTAGTGGTTGGAAGTTAGCATCACCAAGTTACTAAAATCGTCAACGTCCGAATTAGAACCCGAGACCTCCAATCTAAGTGGCAAAACCTACTTTCTTCCTCATGCAACCATTACAGAAGTTGATGATATCATTAAAGACTTTCAATCTTCCTGACTAGTCGTAATTGGTGAACCAACCTCTACTTAAGTTCTATTAATGTTATATTCGACTAGTTTATACTGAAAAAAGATAGTTAATACATTTCAAACCGCTAGAAAATTTATTAAAAAGGGTATAGATTAATGTTTTATCTTTTGTGTCCATACGCTTTCTTTGAGCGATAATTTGAGCATAATTTCACTATGTCAAAAGGACCAAATCAGCAAACATCCTATACCAAAAAGTCTTATAGAAGGCGTGTTCCTAAAAATACTTCAACATGTTAGAGAAAATTTGTTAGTTGCAAACTTGAATCTACAACCATATTCTTGTCTTGTTTCATTTAAATTGGATTATTTCTCAATATTCCAAATTTCTAATTAGGGTAAATTACACAAATCGTTCCCCGTGCACATACAAAAAAGCATGTTTAGTCCCTATTTTCAAAAATTAACTCGGACCATCCCTCGTTTTGTTTCGAATTTAGTCAATACTAGATCTGAAATGACCATAATTCCCTTTATTTATTTATTTTCCAATTTTTTATATATTTATTTAGTTCTATTAATTATAAATTATATCTAGAAAAAAAATTGGTCCTTCCCCTTATTTATATGTTCTCTCATTAAACCTCACCCTTACACTCTAGTATTCCAACGACACATCAAACCCTTAGCCTCTAATATTCTTGCGACATTTAGATCAACGATTTCCAACAGATATGGAGGTAGTTTCCGGCGTTCAAGTCAATGGAAAGGAGAAAGGTTCTGGTGTCTAGATCATCTTTTCCCACCTCCACACTCCATCTGGTGAACACACTTCCAGCAACATCACAAATTTATGTTTCCGATGAGAGGGGAAGAGGAGATCAGAGGAAACGGGTGAAGGTTTATCCTCCAACAACTGCCCTTCCCAACTGTTTCACTGAGCAACTTATCTCCAATCCCTCATTCCCATTTCTCCATCCTTCCTAAATCGATTTTGTTTTTGAGTTTCAGGTTGGTTAGGTTTGATATTGTTTCGATGGATTCTTCTGGAAACACACACTTGTATTAGTTCAGCCTTTAAGCAGATATGAGTTTACCAAATCTAGAAAAAATCACCACCATGGATTTCCCTCTCCTGTTAAAGAACTCTGATGGTTCATCACATCATATCGAGAATAAATTAAGGCTTGGTACAGATGAAATCTCGAAACTCAATTTTCTGTCATGCAATTTGGCAAATCAAATAGAGTTATGATTAGTTGGGTATATTCTTTTGTTGAAACTCTATGAAGAAAGCAACCCCAACAAGTATGACCTTGACAAATCTGGAAAAATCACCACCATGGATGTCCCAATCTATTTTGATTTTGATTTTGTTTCGATGGATTCTTGGTAGGGTGGGTAATATGTGGAGAATATGGTGGCTATGGTTGAATCTTGTTGCAGGTTTTAAGGATTAGAGATGGTAGTAATGATGGTAGAGTTGGTGAAGGTGACAGTGATGGGGTTTTCGTTGGCGACAAGATCGAGTGAGAAAGAAGGAGACAAAGACAGAAGCAGTTGGGCAATGGAAGGAGGAAGGGTGGGGGTATTTATTTTATTCTTATTTTTTTAATAAAACAAATTATATAAAAAAAATTATTAAGAGCAAAATAGTCATTTTATGTCAATAAGGATGAAACGTGTAAGTTTAAAAAATAAAGGATGATACGAATTAATTTTTAAAAAACAAAGACTAAGGTTGCGTTTAATTACGGAAAAACAGTTTTCATTTTTCGTTTTTCGTTTTCCCTTTCCAATTTTTCGTTTTTCGTTTTCGGTTTTCATTGGAAAATTTAGAAAACACGTTTAGTTAAAACTTATTCATTTTTCATTTTCAGTTTTAGAAAATTAGAAAACGCGTTTAGATGTGTATTTTTCTATCGGGTTTCATTTTTTGAAAACGGTAGCGGTGGTAGGGTGGGCGTGGGGACGGTGGTGGTGGTGGTGGGGGGGCAGCGGCGGGGGGCAGTGGTGGTGTCGATGATGGTGACGGTGGTGGTGGCGGTGGTGGTGGCGGCGGCAATTGTGGCAGTGGTGGTGATGGCGGCGGAAGTGGTGCTGGTGATGGGGTAGTGGTGTGTATGTGTGTGGGTTTGGGGGGGGGGGGGGGGTGGGCTTGGGAGTGAGTGTAGGTAGGTAGGGGTGTGGTGGGTTGGGGGTATTAAGGTGAGGGTAGGTAGAGGTGGATGGGGTGGGAGTGGGTGTTTATATTTTAGAAAAATTTTGGAATTAGAAAAATATGGAAAACAATGATTATCGGTTTTCCAAAAATTTCAAACTTCTTTGTAATTTTAAAAAACGGAAAATTTTCATTTTCCATGAAAAATTTAGAAAAATAGACGAACGAAACGCGTTTTCAAAATTCTCATTTCTCTTGGAAAAATTTTCCGGAAAACAGCCCATTTTTCCGCAACTAAAAACACCCTAAATATTTTTTTTGACATATACACAAGGAACAATGGGTATAATTTACCCTTCTAATTAATTTTAGGGAAATTGTCAGAAAAGTCTCAATATTTTCAGGAAAGTTACACTTTAGTCCCAAGATTATTTTTTTGAACATTAAAGTGCCGATTTTTTTTAAAAACACGATAATATGTCATTTCCTGTTAAAAGAAAAAAAGATTTTTTTGTAAACTTGAGCCAAAATAAAATAATCGGGACTTTAATGTTCAAAAAATAATTTTAAAACTAAAATGTAACTTTCCTAAAAATATTTAGATTTTTCTGACAATTTCCCTTATTTTATCTACGCGTCTCAAAAAAAAAGAATATCATAGTTTTTGTTTTAGAGCACTTTATAAAATGTGGGCCTTACATCCTATAAATTGTCAGTCACTCAACGAATTCTAGCCGACAGATCATCTCATCATCTTAACGTCGTCATTTTCTCCACGTGTCCCTTCCAGCTGCCTTTGGATTAACCCATACACATTGTGGCTCAGCAAGCTTCCACGTTCAACTTTCCACCTCCGTCCGATCAATCATCATCCAACGATTCCTATCCCTTCTCTCTCTTACTTTCTCTCTCTAACACCAATATCCTCCCGCCCTCGTCATCTCCGCTTTCTGTGTCATCAATTTCACAAAGAAAAGTATCATCTTCTCTGGCGACTAGTGAAAATGCAGGAGCAAGCAGCAACGAGTTCCATGGCGCCGAGTTTACCTTCAAGTAGTGAGAGATCTTCAAGCTCTGCTCTACAAATTGAAATTAAAGAAGGTTGGTTTTCAATTTTTCATTTGAATCTCATCTGTTCTGTAATCTGTAGTGCTTCTGTTCAATCGCTTTTAAGTGGTTTATCGTCGTAAACTGAATTAGGAACTGGATTTTTATTGAACAAAATGATTAAGCTCGAAAACAGTTATTAATTCAATATATTCGGTAAATGGAGATCCAATCGTGTCAGATTTTACATGATTTTTAAGATTGAAGATCGTGTGATCATTTACTTGTTGTTGGAGCTTGATCGGCGTGATTATGTTTGCTCAATTTGTTGCGTAGTGATTTAAAAATTTTGAGGCAAAAAGTGAAAGGAATCTGAGTGTGGCATTTGAATCTATTGAGTGTGACAATTATGTTCATAATTTAATTTTTCTTCAAATTCCTTAAACATTCTACGATATTTGATCTGGATTTACTTCAAAACTCATATTGCCGATCATTAAATATCAGTGTTTACAGGATTTCAGAAACGATTGTTCTATATTGTAAAATTGATTGATTGATGAGGATGAAATCATGAAATGCAATCTTTACTTTTGTTTTTTCCAATTTGCATAATTTTTTGTATTTTCTAAAAACCATTGCAATTAAACGCATTCTAATTTTATTTTCGAACAAAAGTTACAATTTTTATGCAAAGTGCATGTAGTTTTCTGCTATTCCCAAATATCAATTAAATATTCATAACTATTAAAATATATATTTTTGTTTGGATAAGAACTTCTCAAGTTAATCTATTTTTTAATAAAATCATTAAAATAATA